ACTTCGAGCGTTTTGCCTAGCTCTGATTTTATTTTCAATTTTGAAAGAAAATTATAGAATGATCGATTGATCAAACGAAATAGTCAATAAGATTGCTATCTTTCATTATATGTTCTAGTTCATATTTATGAGATTTCAAATTAATAGTTTTAAAAAAATTACTATTTTTACATGCACAAACAACTGAATAATAGTAATTTTCTGAAAGTCTTTGTGTTCAAGAGCAAATAGTGCTTAAAGCATGCTTCCTTGAAAGAATGATCAAATCATCGATGTTCGCGTGTATTTCTAGTTACTGAGATACATTGAATGATGACAGTGTCGTTGAAAATTTGTCGTAAGACAGTGTTTCTGAGCATGGTTCAAGGAGTTCTATGTCTTGCTAAAATCAGATCTGTGTTTACTTTCTATCTACATAGTTTACTAATATCTCATTTATCAATATGAACAAGAAGAAAAGCTGAAGTGTTTATTGTCGAGAAGGGTGAAACAAGAAGTGTCGATTTATTAAGGCTATAAACAGTACATAATAAACATTTTTTGAATTTAAATAGCTGTTTTGACTTTTGGCGACGTATAACTTTAAGATTTTGTGTTGCTGGACTCGACTAGCAAAAAAAAATAATGATAGACATAAATTTGATATTGATGCCAATTATCCTCTACGATAGAGTGTTATGATAAAACTATCTTAATTTTTAAGGTCTCAATTGTGAAATATTTTTCATTTATCGACTCAGTCAATGTCATCTAGTTTGATGTGCTTGAGTTGGATTTTTCTAAGAATGAAAATCTCAAATCTCAATCCATCGACAGAGAGGGAATTGTTATCGACTCAGATTATTTGCCTTTATGTTTTTGTCTCGCATTAGTTTAATATCCTTATTAGTCTTCATTGTTTAATGCTTCAGTAAAAAATACGACGATGACACACACACATCCATTCTAAACGAAACTTTGGGTGTATATACAAGAACATAAGATCTCTTTATGAATAGAATTTCAGGTCGAAATAGTGAAGTTGAACTTTTCTATGATACATCCTGCATCAGGCCAAAATCTCATTAAAAGTGTCATAACTCATGAAGAAAGCAATAAGGGACCAACTCATTATAGATTTTGCTGACTCTCAATAGGCTGTGCCTAATGACAAAAGACTCATATCAGAAGAGCTTTTTACCACGAGATATTTCTTCGTGAGACTTTATTGCATTGATAGTTCAAAACTTTTACTGATTTGATCTCTATCATTTTCTTTATCGAAAATATTAATAGATCATATGATTTGAAATAAACATTAGTTCATTCGATGAAAGAATAAATTATATTACCTGTTGATTCTGGATGTTCTTTCATGGAAAATAATGATAATGATGATAATCGACGATTAGCTATTACTGAAAGAGGGGTACTTGGTTCACTAACAATTGCTCTTCGAGCTCTCGTTGATAATGGTTCTTGTTGAGTGGAAAACAATTTTTTCATTTTTATTAAATGTTGTAATAATTGACTTATGGATTTCATTTGATGATGATAAACCATCTCTTCTATTTGTCCAGTTATAATACCCCAAAATAAATTAATCCGTTCAGAATTACGATAACGTTGACATGCATCACTTAGATTATATCCCATTTCAATTGCAATCGTATGAGAATTAAATCTTTTTTCAAAGTAGGCAGCTACATGATCAGCTAATGTTTTATTGTTTTGATTTGAATTATTATCTGATGAGGAATGTGTGATTTGTAGAAGTGGTGAACGTAGAGACGATGATAATTCAGAAGCATTGTTTTCTTTTGTTCGACTAGCATTTTGAAGGAAATGATCTTTGGTATCTCTAATTTTGTCTGCCCTATAAATATTACAAATAAACCATTTAGTCAAACAAATGTTTTTCTAAATTTTCTTGTGTTTGTATATCCCAATTTCCATAGCATGTAGTTTTATGAAACACGATCTAAACAATGTCTTGCTGTCGATCGGGTAATTGATGAGATCTCGACGTTTCAAAATACTTGTACTTTTTCAAAATGCTAATTTATATAAAAGCATAAGAGTGAGAATTGCTTCAATCATGATTGAGCAGTCTATCGTACTTTAGAGCAGGTCCATATAATGAAGTTATTGAATAAATGGAAAGGAACATGAATCATGAAGAACATGAACATTGATTCTCATGGATGAAAAATGCATTCATTTATGCATCCACAATTATGATGTTTGACACTACGACTGCGTTTCATTTGAGCGTCATTAACAACAAGCTACGTATACTTGAAGAAATCAATTGAATTTTAGAAGCAGAGAGATATCAAGTGAGCCCAGAATCATTTGTATTTTTTGTGAAATTTGAGATGGTGTCTTCGTTTTTTCCTGTTTATAGAGGAAACTAAACAGTACACTTCTTCATAAAAAATAAAATCTTTGAAAACCATACTACGACTGTGAAAGTATCTGCTGGATATCAATTAGCTTCGGTTCGGATATGAAATAGCCGAATCAGGTTCGGTTATAAAAGAAATGTCGGCTAGAGTCTGGTTGCGAAAAGTCGCCACAGGCAGTAACAGACATTCTTAGTATAAAATCAAAAACATTTCATTTTAATATATGAAATACTTGCTTATTGTATTTCTCGAGGATTTAGTAAAAGGATGGCGAAAAAATATGTCCCAAAATAGATAAAATAAAGCGATGTCCCTGTGATTAGTAACAACAACCATGTTGTACTTCATATTTTATTCCTGCAGGGATTTTCCTAACAACTTTTTCAATTGTTACTTATTTTAAGACTCGTTGATGTTGTTTCTTCTATTATCATACCCTTCAATTAAACACTGTAGGGTATCAAAGCGTGGATTCATATATTTCAAATAATGCTGACTATTAACGGTTTTTTTGCTGTTAGTATCTTTTATTTTGTCTCGGCTTTTTCTTGTCATAACAATATCATCTAGTCATTCAATAAAAGAACACTTCGATGAATCTTTTGTTTATTTTCGTTTTGTTGAAAACCTTTTGTTAAAATGATTTCAAATGTTATATGTCAACTATTCAATGGGTAATGAAATTAATTCCTATACATTTATGTTGAAGATATGATTTCCAATATATTTAATATATTTATTCGGAAAAAAGTCTATTTTGATTGAAATAGAATTCTTACCAAATATCTTTAATTAGAAGCCCCGTCATACGTCGTCTCATTCGTCTATTAAATATTCGGGTATTTTTTGATATACGTAAAAATGGTAAAACTGATAAATCATCACCAATCGCATCGAAATAATTTTGTTCATGTGTTGGTTCTATTTGAATTCCATTAATAATTTCTTTAATTAATATATCAACTAATTGTTCACTGGATTTTCCATTTGATAAAATTTTCCATCGTTCTATTCCACCATCAATTACATTTGATACTTTATCCCAATCAGGTCTTGGTGTCAACAAAGATTTATTTGTTTGCCATTCATTATAATATTTATTTCGTTCATCAATTAAATCATGTGTTTTATTTATTAAATATAAACAAGTTTGTCCTAAATGTTGATATTCATTTTTAAGTAAATTATATTCTTTATTTAATTGATTGTGTTTATTTAATAAATTTTCGTAATCAACACGTAAAACAATATTTTCATAAGATAATTCAGTTTTTATCAATAATTCAATAAAAGAAAATAAAGTTTGTCGTTGACGTATTAATTGAAATTTTAATAAATCAAAGTCAGTTATGGATGTTAAATCATCATCAATGTCACTCAAATAATGATCAGTATATAATGATGAATTATGATTTAAATTTTTCCACGTTGTCATTGATATATTTTTCTAAAATTTGAAAATAATACCATGACAACAAGCTTTTCTAAAACGAAAGAAAAAAAACATGAAACATAGATATTCCAATAGTTTACTTAGATTTGTTTGCAGAAGAGAAGTAGATTTGATGTAAATAGAAGAAAGAGTGCAATTTTATGAATAGAATTTTTGTCTACTTGTCAATTGTTGACTTCATAAATCTTCAAGTTCACAACTAGCTGTTATCATCTTGCTTGGTATTCATATTAAAAAAAGTTCTTTGATACGACATTCCAAATAGTTGAAAAAAAAATTTATGGTAACAATATTAATTATTACCTATAAAGATGAGCGTATTGATTGAAATAAATGAATATAACAATACTAAAAATATATTTTTCAAATATAATTAATGTTGTACTTTTATCCTGAAGTGACTGTTCTAGTTGTAAAACAAAAAACTTGTATATTGCCAATGAATCATCAAAAAAAATAGATGTAAGAAGATGATGCACATAAATCTATCTTACTCTAGTCTATTCTACGGAATAAAAAAGCCTACAATTTTCTTCTATGCTTTTTTCGATATATTTAATCATTTAAAATTGTATCCAAGCACAATTCAATTAGCATTTATTTCAAAACAACAAAAGGACCTAGATGTAATTCAATGTCATCATATTCTTTTAATCTTTGTCCTCTTCTTGTCTTTTTCGGTAGTGTGACTTTTATTATCTATTCACCAGTAAGCAGAAGGAAAAATTTAATATTGATTCGTTAATGTTGTGGTTGGTTTTAAAATATTTTAATTTTTCATTATTTTAGGTTTTAATATCAATATTTATTAAATTAAAGTTTTCACATTATAAAAACTGTTAGGTAAACTATTGAGAATACTAATATTGATCAAATATTATCATTCTAAAACACTATGATAATTACAAAAAAAATAATCCTTTCAACTATTAATGCTTCGTACATCTACCTTAATCTATCGTCAAAATGTATCTTCTATGACTTTTTTAGGTGATTTCAACGTAAGACATTGACCATAAACATTTGCTTAAAAGTATTAACTAACAAACGCAGTTACGCAATTCTTAATCAATATATAGTATACGATAGTGGATAGTACAATAGATTTACTATCGTAATATTCTTTATTATTATAGTCAATCATAATATCTTATATAAATATGTATTTATTGACATATTTGACGAGTTTTCTCCTATTTATTTCTCTTCATATTAATGCTAATATAATATCTGATAATGAAATTTATTATCCTTCATTATGGCAAACTGTTTCATCATCATTAACTGAATATCCATTAGTAAATGATTCATCTTCTCAATATCGATTAATTGATTCATGGTTTTATCCACATAGACTTGGTTTATATAAGATTCTAATTAGTATTCCCATACCATTGATGCCATTTTGTTCATCATTAATGAATTCAATATTCTTTTTGCTCTTCGATCTCAATTTGGTTGGCAATTCGATTCTAATCGATTATTTACTAATGGTACATAAAATATGTCATTAGATAGTTGGTGGGTAGCAGCTAATTATTATTTATCAGTCATACCATTTTTTGCTGCGAATGATGTTGGTCTTATTACTCCTCAAGAATCATTTCGTATTATTCAATATGCAAATTTTTGTTCGAAATCAATTGAATGTTTACAACACGTACCAAAAGCTATGACATAATGACAGAATTCTTTCACTCATCGTCTACACTTACATAAGAATATTGATGATACAATTATTGATAACAGAATTATTGATAGTCTTTATTTAGGACCAATGTGGTTAACATATAAGACTTCGATTGATGATGCTTTATGATTAGTTGAATCGAAAAAAATTTTATTACCATCAAATCTTGAAAGATTATTTTGTTATGGTTGGGCACGATTACTTAATTTAATTGCAATGGCAAGAAAAAATACAAACTTATATTAAAAAAATATTAATCAATGTGCATTTCTTCCACATCGAATATTATTAGATAGTGATCTATTAACACAGTCAAATGGTTTACCACAATTAGTGAAAAAATCATTACAATTTCTTATTTCGTTTCATCTTGATTGGTTATCTTATATTGAAAAAAATCTGGGTAAAACTTACATGTAATTATGAAGCACGGATCTATGGCGAAATCAAAAATTCTGACTTTTAAATATAGAAGTCTAGCTATAATAAATGCATTTTTATTTCGATGTGATGGTTCGTTTAAACATGATCTTTAAACAAATTTCATTTAAAACATTGCACTGAATAGAATTTTTTTTTTTGTAAGAAATATAGGCATACTTCTTTTTTCGAAATAAAGAGATAAAAAACATTTTTTTATTATTTTACTTCATATTTTTGCTTTTTATCTAAGAGATAAACAATTATATTTTCATACTCATTTTTCTTTCATTTCATTAGCCAGCATGGAGAATAGAAGTGAATTATACGTTTGGCTCGATGAATATTCTGTATCACATCAAAATCCAACTAATATTATGATACATAAAATTTGTGTACCAACAATTGCTTTTACAGTGTTAGGATTTCTTTGGTCAATACCTTTACCAAAATTTATTCGTCAAAATTTTGGTAATCTTTTTAGTCATTTTATTCCAATGCTTGTTATGGGACCTGTATTGGCATTTTATTTTCGTCTATCAACAAAAATGGCTGTAACAATGTTAATGATTATTTTATCTGCATTAGCTCTTTTAGCTAAAATGGAACAAAAACGAATACAAATATTTCGAGTATCATTAATGATATTTGTTTTGGCTTGGATTGGACAATTTATTGGACATAGTATAGAAGGAAAAAAACCTTCATTTTTTGAAGATTTACAATTTTTAGCTGTCGGACCACTTTGGACATTGGCTAGTGCTTTTCGTGTTTTGAATATTGAATATTAATTTATCTTATATTAATCAATAGACGTGCATATTTATATTTTAAAAATGGTTCGCAATTTTTCTTTCCTTCTTTCTTTTCTTTAATATAAATCATTAAAAAAAACGGGGAAAATAAAACAGATACCATCGTTTTCTATAAAATAAAATTCTATTCTTCATTCGTAACAGGCTTTTTTCGATTTTGATTTTGTTGTTGATTTTGTTTTTTATTATTATGAGTATTTATTAAGGCTTCTTTAATAAATAATTTTTGATCCGAATTTAAGGCACTTGGATATTCAACATCAAATTCAATAACCATATCACCATACTTATCTGGATTTGACATTAATGGCATACCTTGACCTGGTATACGTTTTTTATATCCCGGTCTAAAAAATAAACCAAATAATTCATTTTTTTCTAATAATCGAAAAGAATCAAGCAAAATTTTTTTCGCTTACTTAACAATTTCATTAACAGGAACATCTAATTTTCTTCCATCAAGGTGTTCAATATGTAATGTTGTACCTGTTAATGCCTGTCCTAAATTTATTTTAGCTGTATAAATAAGGTCAGCATTTTCACGACGAAAATGTGAATGTGGTTTATCTTTTACAGTAAATATAAGATCCGATGGAATATTATTTGGACCTTGATCACCTTCACCTTCAAATGTTACTTTTGTACCTGGTAACCAACCGCGTTTGACAGTTATTGAAAGAATTTTTTCACGAATACTCGATGTAATACCATCATCATTTAGTACCTAAAGGAAAGAAAAACAAATGTCAAAACAAGTTTTATTGGAATGACTACATCTTTCGATGAAAAAAATTGGTTATAGAATGTACAGAAATGAATAAGTAACAAATGGTTTAAACTTTATCAAGTTCTGACTAACGAATGGAAGCAACACGGAGAATATTTAAATCGATTCTTGTTCGAAAACTGAAGATAGATATGGATTAAACGATATTCATTAAGTTTTTCTCGTTAATGACACTTCGTAGAAAAACGAACCATTCGTTCCTCGATAAGAATTCTTATAAATACATCAATTCGAATCAAGATTATAGCCATTTATTTATTGTTTATAAGTAAATTTTCTTGTAATGAGTGGACCGTGATTGATGACATCATTTGTTTTCCAAGATCAACTTTTATTGTAGACATATGTGTTTAGTCTTTAAAGATTTCTTTGTCTACTGTCTAAGAAATTATATAAGAACGTTGAATTTTAAACTTCCAATATAAACAAGTGATCGAATAGTATTGCACTTCTTTAAAATGTGCAACTTGCTAAAGATTTTGTCTTGTGAAAAAATATCAAAGAGAGTTTTTTCTCATGATATACAGTGTTATGAGTATTTGATGTAATATACCATTGGTTTTTATTCAAGCTATAAGATTATAAAATCAAAGGATGAAATTTTGTTAGACTATTATCAAAGTATGTAAAAATTTAAAATTCATGCGTTTTGTATAATTTTGTGAAAACAGTGTTCTTTTCCTGAGTGACGGATGTTTATGTGAAAATTATTTGAACATAGCTTAAAGATATCGTTTTTTTTGTATGCTACAAGATCACTAATCAGTTTCTTTGAAGGATCAAAGTCTTAACAAATCAAATTGCAACAACTGTTTTTTTTAGTACAAAGTCACACACATCTTGAAAGGGTAGTATTATTCGGTTCATTGTTCGAATAAGAAGTTTAGATCAAATGTTTTAATATAACTTTATGAGGATTGAAAGAGGGATCATTCAAGACTAAGCTCAAATTTCTATAATAAAAGTTGACTGATGATAAACACAAAATTCACATGATGCCTTTATTTATAGGCAACTAATAATATTGATTCTATTTTTCTGAGATGTCATACTTCTGAGGACATGTACTAGTGAAATCTATGCTAATAGTTTCTTTTTCTGATGCAGCATACAGATAAATCAATAATTATAGATTCGTTACTTTGAAAAAAAAATGTTTTATGTGGATCTATTAGAGAAAAACCTTGTGTATATATTTATAGAAGTCAAGAATTCTTACTCGTCGACTAATTTTAATTTTTTTAACAGCGCCATGATAACAGTCTTCAAGTGAAAGTAAAAGATCACGTATTATAGGTGGATCTTGTTTTTTTCGACCGCGACCATCTAATCCACCAAAACCTAAATTTCTATCTTGGTCGGCACTGGCATAAAATTCTGTAAATAATTGAATTCATTTAATTATAAATGAAGAATGAGCCAGAAATATTGACTCAATGTGTATCATCAATTGTTCTAAAGCAAAACAAATGTTTGTAAATTTCTTTCTATAATGAGACGATGTAGTAAAATATGTTCTACAAAATGACTATTGATTGACCTCACTAGCACATCTAGTACGAAACTTATAAGCTCAGAAATATGTGTTGCAAAAAGAAAATAAAAATAAAAACCACTTTACATCTATTGTTATGTTTTTAAGTGAACGATTTATTTCTGAAATTCAGAAAGTATTTAAGAATTTAGGTCGAGATGATTAAGTTTCAAAACAAAGAACTGATGTTGTTATGGATATTATCGATGTTTTTTTTGCAGAAAAACTTTAACTGCATGACAGGGATGTAGAATTTGTCGACATATGGCCAATTGAAAAATATATAGGAAGGATTATGAAAGAAAAAACTAGATAGAAAAATATTTGTTACTAGTTCTTCAATGATTTGTTTTGTTAGTTCAGAATGGAGAAATATTACACTTAAACAATGTAAAGTAATGATAGAAAAAAAATACTAGAAATTCTGACAAAAGTGATATGAGTTAATGAAAACTAAGTTTATGAGCATTCATTCTGATAGGTTTTGATTATAATATTCATGGTAAAGAAACTGTACTTTAAATAAAGCAACGTTTTTTTATTTATTTCTAAACAGTCGCACTAAATTTTCATTTTTTTAGTTAAGCATAATTCTAAGGTTATAAATTTTCTACTAGATGAGCTAGCGAGATTAAACAATAGTCATTTTGTAGAGCATGCTTTATTGCATTTTTTCATTATGGAGATCAATCTACAAACATATGTTTCACTTTAGAAAAATTAATCATACACGTCGAGTCAATACTTGTGCCCTACCCTATATGTATATATATTTGCTTTCATACTTACCAGAAAATGGATTATCACCACCGAAAAAGTCACGAAAAACTTTATCGGCATCACCATGAAATACATAACCTTCATTCCATTCATTTGCTGGTCCTATTGGTACGCCATTCTTTAAACCTTCATCACCATATTGATCATAAATAGCTCGTTTTTTATCTTAATAAAATAAAGAGAAATATTTCTTATCAATATAGATATAAACGTACGATCACTTAATACATCATAAGCTTCAGCAAGATCCTTAAATTTATTAAAAGCATTGTGATCATTCGTATTTTTAACTGGATGAAATTTAAGCGCTAATCGACGATACCTATGTAACCAACAAACAAAAAGATATATATTCAAATCAATTGATGAAATATTTGATTTCTACATACGCCGATTTTATATCATGATCTTTTGCACTTCGAGTTAATTGAAGAATTTGATAATAATCTTTTCCCATGCTAAAAAATACAGTAGAATCTTTGTGAATTTTAACACATTTTTTTTCTTTATTTTGATTAAAAATAACCTATGTGTTGCCTTGTGTAACTAGATGAAGAATGTAACAGTCGATTTTGTCTTACCATCCATATTAACGTTTGCATAGCAACGACTCTCATGTGATTTTAACTACAAGCGACCTCTTGAATTTTATTGT